TTTTTTTTTTATATAAAATACATTTTCTTTTTTTTATAAAAATGCAACAATTATTAAACAATTTTACATAAATAAATAAAAAAAAAAGAAAAAATAAAATTCTTATTTTAAGGTTTATTTTTTTCTTTATTTTAAAAATTGAAAATATTTATTTTTTAATTAATGATAAAACTTTTATTAATAAATGAAAACCATACATTTCTTTGTGATTAAAAACCAAAATAAATTGTGTGTGAGTGTGTAAAAATAAAATTTTATTTATATAAAAAAATATAAATATATTTTAACATAATCGGGGAACTCTAAAATATAAAAAACAAATAGAAACAACAAAAAAAGAAAAGGTATTTTTTGATTTTAAAATTGAAATATTATTATGACCAATAAATTATTAAAAAATATATTTATCAAAAAAATCAAAATTTGTTATTTATTTTATAGTGTAGAAATAAAAAAATACTTTTTTTTATTTTATTTATTTTTATTTTTTTTTATTTATTTTTTAATTTATTTTTTTTAAAAACTATTATTACTATTATTTATTTGTGTGTTAATATTTTTTAATATTATAAAATAAAAGAATGCAATTGATATATTTACTTTATTATAGTTTTTGTGGAATGTAAAAGTTACAAAAGAGAAAAAAAAAAAAAAAAAATATTTGTATATGTATATAAAGTAAAAATGAAAGGGTGTGTTTATTATTCCATACCTAAAATATTATTATTATTAAACTTCACTAGAAGTAAAATAAAGTCATCTATTGAAAATAAAATAATAAATTACTATTGAATTGAAAGGTTTCTTTTATTGTTTTTTTGCATGCAGTTAAATATTTTTTGATTCCTGTAATTTTATTTAAAGATTAAACAATGGTTAATTAATTGTTTTTTCAAAAGATATGGATATTAAGATCGGCAAATGAAAAACTATATTATATAAAATAATTATGACTATTGTCGATTTTGGGTCAACTAGATATCTTTTAATTATTTACATCTATTAGATTGAAAATGAACAAAGATTTTTTTTATCTTTTTTTAAATATTTTATAATTGTGAATCAAATACTGTGCTATAAAAGAATATTTTTTTTTATGATTATTTTTTTTAAAAACTGTTTCTTTTTTTTAAATAGGTTTATAGGAAATTGCCCTTAACTTGTTCCAATTATTGTTATTATTACTATAGCTATTATTATATTCTAATTATTTTGTTATTATCTGTTTTTTAAAAGGAGGGTGGAGTATATTATATGATATTATATGATTTTTAACCAAATTAAAATTTCAAACTTAAAAATGAATCTTAAAAGATCCTGCTTCACTTACCTTTAATTTTATTTAATTATGGTGTACTTTTTTATTAAATTTAAAAGTTTAACAAAATAAATTAAAAAAATAAAAAACAATTTTTAAATTGTATTTATAAAATAAATATGTTATTATTTTTTGTATTGCATTGGATTGTTACAATGGTAGTCTTATTACTATTATTATTTTATTTACATATTAAATGGTTTATTATTATTTATGAATAAAACTTACATTTTTAAATTTTACTAATTTGGTTAATTCTAAATTTTTTTTGTTTTTTTTTTTTTTATTTTTTTTTTTATTTTTTTTTAAAATAAAAAAAGATTACTAAAATTCTTTTATGTGTTTTTTATAAATTAAAGGTCGATAAATTTTTGATTTTAAAAGGTGTACACTTGAATAAAATTAGACTCTATAGAATCATATTAAAATTATATGTAATGTTGAGAAAATAAAAAAAAAAAAATTAATTAATTTTAATGAAAAAATAATTTTTATAAAATTTTATATAACTCAATGAATGGGTGGGGTTTATAAAAATATTAAATTTCATTTAAAATACACAAAAAATAATATTATTATTTTTGTTTATTTTATTTCTATATTATTTCTTTTCTATATAACGAGATTAATATGGATGTTTAAATCACTATCTTGTAATTTTTTATAAAATTTAATTGGATTATTTTAAAATAAATAAAGATTTTATCTTTTTATATTTATATTTAGCGTAGGAGGTATAATAAGGTTTGAGTATAAAAATATAAATAAAGGTAATTAATGTGAGTGTGTGGTGGGTGAAATTAAAATGTGTGTTGTGGTAAGATATATAAAAATTATTTAAAAACTACTTTTAGTGGTTCCATATGCAATGAGTCTATTAAAATATAAAATTATATGGGTGTGGTGGGTGTAAAGAGGTAAAATGTGGGACGTGAGCATACATGGTGAAAATTACTATTAACATTTATTTTAAATTATATAAAAAATTCCTATATTAATAATTAATATATATACATTAATGTCTATCTTTAGAAATTTCAGCAAAAAAATAAATAAATATGATTGTTTTGTGTCAATTGAAAAAAATATTTAAACAATTTCCCTTTTTTGTCCAAACTTGTTTAAACTAATGCATTAGTTTCTATTAAAACTTTTTTTCTTTTGATATGGAAATTAAGATTTATAAAGATTTCGGAAAAATAGTAAAAAAATTTTGGGTTACCATTTTTTATTTTCTAAAAATCTATGAAATAAATAGATAAATGAATTATTAAAATTACAACATTTATTAAATATTATTTGATTATAAATAATTACTATTATTAAATAAATAATGGTGGCAGAATGTGGTTATATTATATATGGATAAATAAAAAAATAGTTCAAATATTAATTTGACCTATATTTATTATTAAACTGTAACATTTCTTTTAATTACTATTTTATGGATATTATATTATTATTATTATTATATTATATATTTTTTTTTATATAAAAATTATTACTATTATTTAAAAGTTTGAATTGCTTCTATTATGTTGCTTCTTTTTGTTTTTCTTATTTTTCTTTGGTGTTGATTGACCTGAATTAATGGTGCCACTTGGTGGAGCAATGGATGTTGAAGATGAAAGTGGTGAAGATGAGAGTGAATCTGGGTTTAATTGTTGTTGTGGCAATGGTGAGCCTGAAGTGCTTGAAGAGGCTTCGCTTGTGTTATTGCTAATGCTATCCAAATCAAATGTTTGATTTACAATATCATTTTTTAATGACTTTGGGTAGTTTGTTGGTGAAGTTGCTGGTGACATTGATCCAACGCTATGATTCTTTTTATTGTGTTTCTTTTTATTTCCACCCTTTCTATTCATCTTTGGACTTGATTGGCTTGGGAACTGTTGGTAATTGAAGAATAAGTCACCACTTGAACCAATAGAACTTGGTGCTGTGGGTTCATTTGATTTTCTCTTTTCTTTAATTGGAGTTGGAATAACATCTTGTGAGGAAGATAATGGTTGGAATTCTGGTGACTCTGTTATGATTACATTGTTGTTAACTGTATCGGCTGTATTTGCTTCATCAATAGTTTCCTCTTTATTATTTGATAATTCTGGTACAACTTGTTCTTCTTCTATTTCATCTACTGGTTCTTTCTTTGTTTCTTCAGTAGTGGCTGTTATTATTTGTTCCTCTTCAACTTTAGTTATTTCATCAGTTGGGGTAGCATCAACCATTTCTTTAACTGGTTCCTCTTCGGTAGTAACTTCATCAACTTTAACTGGTTCCTCTTCCTTAACACTAGTTGTTTCTTCGGTAGCACTAGTTAATGGTTCTTCTTTTTCTTCAGCCTTAATTGGTTCTTCTTTGGTTGCAACTAAATTTGGCTCTTCTTTTTCTTTTTCTTCTTTTTCCTTTGCTTCTTTTTCTTTTCTTTCTTTTTCTTCTCTTTCTTGTTTTTCTTTTTGTTTTTGTTTATAAGCTATTAATGGATCTACAAATACTTTTGGAACAGTAACCTTCCAAGAATGGAAGTAAGATTTGAATAATTGTGATTCAGATTGAGACTGTTCTTCTTGAATGATATCATCACTGGTTGATGGACGTTCATCATTAGCAGACTCGATATATTCTTTAGCCAAGGCAATGGTTTCTTTATATTTAGAGTCAGAACATTTAGAACCTTTCCAAACAAATACTTTGGTGAATGCATCCAAGATTACAGCTTCTTCATTATTTAAATCGATTTGAGAGAATGGGCAAATTTGGTCAGCTTTAAAGATACCAGAATTTTCAGTGCATAAAAATAATTTTAATTTAGCTGGCTTAGCACCATCGGTATCATTATGGGTGATATCAGAACTTGAACCACCAATTAATTCCCAGAAACTATCATCTTCACTTCCTTCATCAAATTCTTTGACATCGGCCTCATATTCTGGTGGGAGGAAAGTAAAGAGATCAGCGGCCAAGGTTCTTTCATCTTCGGTGGTGGCTTTACCGTGCCATACAATAATATATTTCTCTGGGAACAAGAATACGAATGAGTCTAATGAATTTAAAAGTTTAGCATTGCAACCATTTGGTTCTGGATATAATTGGGTTCCTCTGTTACCACGTACTTGGAAGATCATTGGTTTCATTGAGAGCTCCTCGTTTAATACTAATAATTCAGTGCCAAAGAGATTAATAAATTCTTTTGGTTCTTTGTTTTGTGCGATTCTGTATTCGACTGGATCATCACTTTGAAGTGATTGCATTTTCTTTTGGATTTCTTTAAAGAGACCAAATTTATAGCTGATGTAGTTTCTTGCGTTGGCATATAAACCTTCCCAATAAAAAATGGCTGAACGAATTGAACTTTTACCCTCTGGTTTATAAATAAAATGGCAGATATAAGATTTATTTGAATAGAAAATACCAAAGTCATCCTCTTCGACCTTATTCCATTTACCATTTGATAAACATGACCATACAAATAGTTTACCCTTTGAGTAATCTGAACCGAGATGGATTTCAGCGACAGGCTTCTCTTCGTGCATTGAAGATACTTCGAATGAAATGGCTTCTTTCTTTTTTTGTAATGATAAATAACTTGTGAGAACTGGTGCTTTATCGACCCATTTGGAGAACTTGCTCTTGAAAAGACATCCCTCGGCACCATCATAAACTATGGTAATTGGTGGATGTGTATTTTTGCTGTAATATTCTGGACGATCATATTGTTCCCAAATCTTTTTGGCCAAAGGAATTAAAGCTTCTTTGGTTGATTTATTCTTTACATCTTTACCTTGCCAAATATACATCTCGTGTTCGCAATCTAAAATAAAGCATGCATTTGACTCTAACATCTCTTGTTTAATCTCTTCCTCCTCAATTGGTTTGATACTTGGCTTACCATCTGCACCAGTTGACAATTTATATAAAAAGAACTCTGGTAATAATAATTCATCATCTTCATCTTTTTGGAAAATATCATTTTCTTCTTTTTTAACATTTAACTTTTCACCTTTTGGTAAACCTAAACAAAATAAAAATGTTAAATGTTCTTCACCAAATTCTTTAAAATAAAAAAAAAAAAATATTAATATCGATTATAATCTTTAAGATTTTTTTTTTTTTTTAATGGTATGTATGATAAGATATTTACCTAAAGCTTGAACAGTTCTTTGACAACCAATTTCAATTTTTAATTTTTGAGCCATTTGAATGGCCTTGGCTTTCTTTTGGCTTGCAACTTTGTCAGAATACCAAACAAACATATAAGCATCACTTTGCATGATGAATGCATCTTCTAAATTTAATCTATCTACAGACAATGGAACTGAAATATAATGATATGGCTCTTCTGGACCTGTAACTTGAATTAACTTGGCATTGTGGTGATAGTTAATGGATGATTGTACTGGTTGGGCTGTTGTTGCGGTTGTATCGGATTTTAATGATGGTGATGATGGTGCTGAAGTACTGGTTGGTGTTGCTTTTGATTCTACTTCGACTGCTTCTGCTGATGCTGCTGGTTCTTGTTTTGGTGTTTCATCTTCACCACTTTCTTGTTCTTTTAATGATACACTAATTGAAGATGTTGTTGACTCTTCATTTTTATTTTCTTCTTGTACAACTTTTGAAAGTTCTTCCTCAGAAATTTCCATTTTTATTATTTTATTATTATTATTTTTACTATTTATACTATATATATTGTATTATTATTATTATATTATATTTTATACTATTGCTAAAATTGCTTTTTTTTTTTTTTTTTTTTTTTTGTTTTGTTTTGTTATATATGAATAAAAATTCCTTTTTTTATTTTATTTTTAATTTATTTAAAATTAATTAAATTATTACTATTTTACTATTACACAAACTACACAGAGATTTTATATACAAAAAAAAAATAAAAAAATTATATGATACAACTATTTTAAAATAAATAATAAATATGAAAAAGTACACAAAAAAAAATTTTAAAATAAAAAAAAAAAAAATTTTAAAATAAAAAAATCTTTTTTTTTTTTTTTTTTTTTTTTTTAAAATAACAACAAGTGGTTTATTTTTATTAACTTTATTACTATATTAATTAATATAATATAAACATATAATTAATAAACAAATAAATATGAATTTAAGAGTGGGTGAGTTTTTGTGATTAAAAATAAAAAAAAACAATAAAAAATAATGGTATAAAGACAAAAGAAAAATAAAATAAAAATAAATAAAAAAAAATAAAAAAAAAAATAAAAAAAATAAAATTTTTTTTTATTTAAAAAATAAATGGCTTCAATTTTTTTTGAAAAAAAAAAAAAAAAAAAAAAAAATTCGATTCATTTTTTAATTTTTTATTATAATTTTCAATTTAACTATATTTTAGATATATAGATTTATAAATAACTAAAAATGGCATCAAATATGCAAGCTATTAAACAAATGAGACCAGCAATCGTCAGTCTCACCCAACAACAAGCTCGTAAAAGATGTTTCAAACTTTATAGAAATTGCATGAGATCAGTTCCACATTTAATTCAACATTACAATCTTTCATATAATATTTCAGAAATGAAGGCTAGAATTAGAGGTAAAATTCATATAGCATTTTGAACATTTATAATAACTCTAGCAATAATAATTTCAATGACAATTTCAGTAATGATTGCAATAGCAACATCAATAACAACTACAATAGCAACAAAACCCATTGAAATATTAACAGGTTAATCATTATATAATATCAAAACGTTATTCATATTATCATCTCAATTTCGCATATTTAATAAAATTAAATATAAATATAGATATTACATATATCATATATATCACATCACACATCACACATCACATTATTTATTATAATAATCATTATCAATAACATAGATTTACTATTTATTTTAAACTACATTTTAATATTAATACAATTTCTTTTTTTAACCACATTTTAGCAAACTTTGAACAATTTAAAGATGTCGAAGAAGTTTCTCAATTAGATAGATTAGCATTTATTGGTGAAACCGAACTTTTTGATGCCATGTCATTATTAAAAACTAGATCACATGTTGTCAATTATTTTGATACCCCACTCGAAAGTAAAGCCAATAATAGATACGATCAATTAAGATTAGCATTAGAAGGCAAGAAGAAGGTCGAAATATAAATGTATTAAATTATAATATAATCAACAATAAAATAAAAAACCAATTAATAATATAAACAATAATAACAAATAAAATAATATATGGATATCCAACAAAAACAAAAAAAATAAAAAAATTAAAAAAATAAAATTATTTTTTAGTAAAATTAAATAAATTTTGTAATTAGAAAAAAAAAGGAATATAGCTTTATATTTTTAGGTTTAAAAGAAATTTATTTTTTTGTTACAGAGTTAAAATAGGCCATTTCCAATTCTTGAAATTCTTTAACATCAGAGTTTGAAAGATTGATGTTACTCATTAGGAAATGGGTCACTTCTTGATGATGCTTCGATAATGATGTGTCGATGTACCATCTCAAATCTTTTAGTGAAAGAGACATGTTTTTGGGTGGTGGCGATAAGGTGGGGTTGTTTATCTTGAATATATTTTTGTTTTTTAAAATTATTCTTTTTAATAAATGTAATTCGCCATTTTTGGTTGATTTTGAAATGATTTTTTCAAATATTAGTTTTGCATGCTTTTCACTTTCGCTAGAGTTGTCCGCTAGAATCGAGTCAATAACCTTGAATGCTATAATACTTGGTAAACACCTTTCAAAATTAATATAGTATATTAATGAGTTGGCCGGGGTTGATAGTTGTTGGTCTATTTTGATTACATCAAAAGACATGTCAATGCGACCTGCCCAAAATAAATATTTAGCAGCGTTTTTGATTGTTGTTCTGTGGTTTAAATAGTAGGTGTTACCTGTAGTGGTAATTGGCTTCGTCGAGGCAGACATAAGCGCATAGCTTTGATTGTTCTCGATTATAAAAATGTTTTTTTCACAAGAGAAATCCTGTAGCAGCCAGTTCATTATTTTGTGACTTTGCTGATTTAGCATATCCATGTCAAAAGATTTGATAGGGTAGTATTCTAAATATTTTGAAAGAAATGATATAACTGAATCTTGATTTCCTTCATTGACGCAATATAAAAAAAGTCGATTTTTCTTTATTTCCTCAATTAAACTTGAATGGTTGCATTGGTACACCTCTGGTTTACACAAGGCTCTTTCATACCACTTTAAAATATTGCTTATGGGAATATTGTGTTCGTTTAAAATTTCGATTCGCAAACGTGCCATAATATCGAATTTTCTGTTTGCTGCTTTCATTAGGGTTTCGTATTGGTCCATTACTTTTTCGTTGGTGACAAACTGCCATAAATCATTTCCTTCAGCGAATATAATCTGATGAATGGAGCTGTTGAAATAATGGTCCAAGATACTGGGATCTGTAATTGAGGCTACGAAGCGATGAGGGTGGAGAAACTGTTGAGTTCTTTCTTCTTTTAATAATAAATCCATTAGCTGTGTATCGCTGGTTTTTAAAAAAGAATAGACTAAATACTCGTAATTTCTGTGTAGGATTTTAAGTGTCCTATTTTTGCTGGCATTATCAATAAATACTTTATTTTCATTAATAAGTGTAGATACTATTTCTTTGATCTTTTCTTTTTTGTGAATATGAGTAATTCCAATGTATTGGTCTATAGAGGATTTTAGCATTTCATTTGAAAATTGGTCAAGTATTTTATTGTTTATTTCTTTGAAAAATAAATAGTATTGTAATGGTTTGTAGTATCCATTTAAATCTGATTTATTTATTATTTTATATTTTTTATAAATTGCATATATTATTTTAAAATATTTATACATTATATTTTTTAGTGTACAGTTGTTATTGATTATTGTATTCGATAGTGTTACTGATTCTACTATGCTTTCTACTGTTGAGTTTAGGTGTTCTATATAAAGGATGTTTTGAATTGATGCCAGCTCTGCTATCATACTATTATATTTGCTGTCAAGTGTTATTACAATTGTATTGTTTTTATTATATTCTAAAAGTGAGTTATAATATGAAATTAGGTCCTTTAGTTTGAATTCTTTATCATACAGGTTGACATTACTGAAAATATTTAAAAGCAATAATTTGGTTGTGTTTGGTATATATTGGTTTTTTTTTAAGTGGTTGTACATTTCCAAGCCTTTTAGCGAATTAAATTGGTACTTTTTCCTTGTATTGTTGTCGGGGTCATAGTGTTTAAGTACTCGGATATGAAAATAGTAGCTTCTATAGTTTCTGTAACATTTATCATTTAAATTGCTGCTATTGAATTTATTGGGGCTTTGGTGGTTGTATGGTTTAATATTATTAAAAAGTTGTCTAACAGTTTCTTTATTTATATTAAATAAACCGACATATTGGTTGAATGCTACTATATTGTATTTTTGAATTATTACTGGTAACCAAGTTGCCGAATCATTAAACTGAGGTTTCGCAAAAGATTTGGTTGGATAGTCTATAAACAGTAATCTGTATAATTCTCTATTCTCTGCTGTATCTTCTCTAATGGTTTCAAATATTGCTATTATATCGATATAGCCAGTAATTAAATAGCCTCCACTCTTTAGTTTATCAATGATGATTGCTTCATAATTGGTATATCTATTAATGACTCTTTGAACACCAAATAAATCTTGATATCCGAAAAGCTGGTTGTACTTAAAGTTTGAAAAAATTGTTTTGAAAATAGATTTACTCCTAAAAACACCCCAAAACAATAGCTCTAATGAATCTGTTGTTTTATTAATTTCTAATTTAGGTGGATATTTATTAAATGAGTTTATGCTACTATTGATTCTATCTTCATTTTTTATATTTCTTTGTATCTTTAAATAATTTTCTATTCTCTTATATAAATCTAATTTTAGTCCTTCTGTTGATACATTTATTTGTTTTGCTAATAGTTTAAATTCTTTATGTGGTGTTGTGATAATATTGTAATCTCTTTTAAATTTATTTAATGTTAATGTGTTTTTGTTTGGTGTTGTAGGTGCTGTAGTGGTAGTGGTAGTGGTAGTGGTAGATGTAGTGATTATTGATTTACTATAATTTATATTTTTAAAACTGCTTATATTATTATTTTGCATGAAATATATGAAAAATTTAAAAATTAAAAAAAAATTTTAAATTAGAAAATTAAAAAAAAAGTTTAAATTAAAAAATAAAAAAAATAAAATTTTATTTTTTTTATCACACTTATCCAAATTATTGAAATAGTATTACTTTAAAGTCCCAGAATAAAATTAAAATTAATAATTCAATGCTTTAATATTATAAAATAAAATAAAACAGAACAAACAAAAAAAAAAAAAAGTTATAAAATACAAAATATATCTTAAATATAAAATATTTCTATGATATAAAATATTACATTTTTTTAAAAAAAAAAAAAAAAAAAGAAAATTAAGCAATGGCTGGAAAAAAACAAAGTGAAAGAAAAGTTATTAACGATTATTCAGATGATACAATATCAAAGTTATTTGGTTGTAACAGGAATATTATGACTACATTGTGGAATCTTATTTCTCCATTAAATTTATTCTATCAAGAGGATCTTATTAGATTAATGGATTTTATCACCAATTACCAATCTATGTTTGTATTAGCCACAAACTACTCAATATCAGAAAAAACATTAAGAGAGCGTTTATGGTTTTGCCTAGAGAGGCTTACTGATAAAATTCCCCCAATTGTATGTATTTTATATTGGTAATTAAAAAAATAATATAAATAAAAAAAAAAAAAAAAATTCTAATTTTTTTATAATTTCTTTTAATTTTTTCTAATAGGATATTAGGTTCAGATTTATTAGTAATCATGGTACCAAGAATTTAAAATTTGCAGCAAATCCTGGTTCATATTGTTTAACTGCTATAGATAGTTCTGGTTTTCCTTTCCAATCTTCAGATAAAAAATTTATTTCTGCCAGACATGAAAATAGAACTGAATTAAAGTACCAAATGCTTGTTAATATATCAAATGGTATGGTTTGTCATGTTCATGGTCCTTGTCCTTCAAATATGGATGATATCACTCTTTATCGTGAATCTTTAAAATTTTAATAACCCATCTTTAATATCTCAACCAAATGAATATATCTTTGCAGATAAAGATTACTCTGGGGAAGAAAGATTAATTTGTCCAATAGATAAGGCCCAACCTAATCTCGATACCAATGAAGAGTTATATAACATGTGGGTATCTTCAAAGAGAAAATGTATTAAAAATGTATTCAAAAAGTACAAGAGATATAAAAGTATGAGTTCACCATTTAGATCAGATGGGGAAAAGCATTTTAGAATTGTAAAATTGATAACATACATTATCAACATAAACATCGCAGGTGATTTGCTCGATGAAGAACAACTTCCATCTACCTTTCTTTATTCTGAACGTTATCATACTGCTCAACATGAAGATGTCCCCTTTACTTCAAGTACACCAGTTTCTTCATCTGCCCCCTATACTTCAAGTGTACCAGTTGCTTTAGGTGCCCCTTTTAATTCAAATAAACCAGTTGCTGCAGTAGTCCCTTTAATTTCAAGTGTACCAGCTGCTCCATTTATTTCAAGTACAGCAACTACACCAGTTGCTTTAGGTGCCCCTTTTGCTTCAAGTAAACCAGTTGCTCCAGTGGTCCCTTTTATATCAAGTACACCAGTTGCTACAGCTGTTACTCAACGAACATCAATCTCTCATTATCTGTCAACCGATGATGTTACATTCTCGACTGCTGAATCACAACTATCATCACCATTCTACCAAAAGCCCCAATCACCAATCTCATCACAAACTCAATATAACTTGCACAGCAATTTGCTATCACCACCACTCACACCAAGGACCACCCTATAAAAATAGTATAATAAAAAATTATGAATAAGTTTTGTTAAATTATTTTGATTCATAAACTTTTTATTTATTATATTTATAACAATTAATTTTTTATAAATAATTTTTTTAACAATTTGAAAGGTGCCTAAGCACAAATTAATTATACATTTACTCATAAAAACAAAGATTTTAAACTCAAAATCCCACAAATATGAACAATTACTTTGTAAGCATAAAAAATATCTATTTTAATTGTGAAATTTTTTTATTTTAATTTTTTTATTCAATATCATTTTTGCATCAAATAAAATGGAATATTTACAAAGTGAAACAATTTCAAATAAGAGATTTTATTTTATATTTATAGATACAAGTGCATGAAGTGTAAATCAAGAAGAGTTAAATAAAAGTAAAACAGCCGCTCCCGAATTTATTAAAAATAAACCAAATGACTCCGATTATATTTTGATCAATTATTTAAATAATCCTGAAGTTGCATCTGAATCAAAATAAAACCAAAGCAATAGAAGAAAACCAAGTAATAATTTAAAATATAGAATGGTTCTCTTTATCGGACTGGGAACACTGTTGATATTAATAAATTTTCTAATATTAAAACTTTTTAGTTTTTGGTCTTTTGTTTGATAATATGTAAATAGGAATTAAGTTTGAAATTGAAGAGTTATAGTATTGTCCAGTTTAAATTTTGAAAATTGATAATTTTCTGTTTTTAAGTTTTTATTTTTTAAGTTTAATAAATATCTTTTTTTTAAAAAAAAAATAAAAAAAACCATAAGATTTTTTTTATTTTTTAAAAAAAAAATAAAAAAATCATAAGATTTTTTTTTTTTAAGTTTAATTGTAAATTGGCCAACCAAATACTTAAATATAAATACCCACCTCAAACCATATTTAAAAAAATTAAAAAATAAAATTTTATTATTAATTTTTAATTTAATATTACCCTCATTCAAATAAAATGGAATATTTACAAAGTGAAATAATTCCAAAAAAAAGATTATTTTTTATATTAACACATACAGGTGTAAACCAAGAAGAGTTTAAAAAAAATAATACAATAGCTGAAGAATTTATAAACAATTTGCCATCTGAATCTGAAACTATTATATCTCAATATTCCAATTATTTAGATTCTAACACAGGTAAATATTTATATTTATATTTATATTCTTATTTAAATATTATCATTGTATATTTATTTTATTTCTTTTGTAATTCAAAAAGGATTATTTTCCAAATTAAAATCAGTATTTGTTCCAGATAATGAACCAAAAATAAATTGTATACCAAATTTAAACTCTGCATTACTCTCAGTTCAACAAAAAATAGAATTTATTTTTAATAAAGAAATTTCCGTTGTTTTGTTTTCAAATGGACCATGCACTGATGACCCCAAAGCAACCATAACCAGTATCATGGATAGGGTAGGTAGATTTTTTTTTTAAATAATTTATTAAAATAATTTTAATTAGTATTTAAACTTTAATATAAAAAGGGTATCAAATTTTTTTGTATTACAACCAAAAATGAAGCTTTGGTTACATTAGCATCATTATCTACAAATATCAGTTTCCATGTATATGAAAACTCATCGAAATTAACCGAATATATAAAAGAAATTACAAAAAACAAGATTGAAATACCTGTTTTACATAAAATTTCAGTAGCCAATCAAACAATTCAAACTTCCAAAGATGATCTTTCAATTTCTTTTAAAATTTTCCTAAACTCTAATGAACATGCTTTCAAAGAAAATGAAATCGAAATTGAAATTTTAACAAATGACTACTATTACGGTCAAAAAGTTATAGTTCCAAACAAAGTTGATTGCAATACTCCATATATCGCACATCTTGTTTTAAGGGTTGCAAATAACTCATCAAACTACGATTTACCTTCTAAAATTTATTTCAAAATCAAGGTTAAAGAACAAGTTTTCGATGGATTCTTTACTCTCGATTTAGTGTGGTTCACAGGCGACTTTGAAACTTTAAAACCAATCAACATTTGGGTTGAAGGACTTATGGGAAATGGTAAATCATCTGTATTAAATATGTTGTTTAATTTATTCACATCGAATCCAGAAATTTACGATTATTTCATCTCATCGAATTACCACAGCCATGTAACCAAAAAAATCTCATTTAGCAAAATTTCAGACATCTTGGATGTTTTCAAAGGAATAGCAGGTGCAAATTGGCCATTGTTTGATAAAATCAAAGATAAAATTAAAATTTCACTTGTCGATAAACCAGGTATTACAAATACAGATGCAAATATAAGCTTTTTATTAGCATCAAAAGGTGCTTATCATAACAATACACATAAAGATCAAATGGTAGCCAGTAATAAAGAGAAAAAAGAATACGAATGCCATGCTGTCATTTTTGTAGTATCACTTTCTGAAATTTTTGCTAATAAAGCTGAAATGGAACTAGTTAAAAAAAAAACTGAGGAAGTTATAGATAAAGTCAACATCCAACCAATTTTAGCAGTAACTTTTAGCGACAATTTCACTGAAACTCAATTAGAAGCTGCTAAAAAACAACTTTATAAATGTGATTTAAATGTAGCAAAAAATAATATTTTCTTTGTTCACCCATATATCAATGGTGAAACTAAAAGAAAAATTGAAAAAGACATTGAAGCATTCAAACTATTAAAATATGCTGTTAAAGTTGGCATTCAAAAACAATTCCAAAAAGAAATGGATTCAAAAGACATCCAAAAAAAACAAAGAGAAAGTGATTCAAATGAAGCTACTACTACTTTAAACGATGCCTCCACATCAACTCCAAATGAACCTGCTACTACAAACCCAATTGGATCTGTTACAAAGAAAACCTTCGCCATAACTCTTATTCACGAAGGCAATGATTTTAAAATCAAAGTTCCACAAAAATACACAGTTACAAAACTTTATGGCATGGCTAAAAAGAAATTTAGTATAAAAGAAGATTTCTCTTTAAATGACGAAGATGATGTAGAACTAGTTGGGGATTTTCCTTTAGATGATGTAATTTTCGAAGAAGAATCTAGATTCAAAGTTAATATTAAAAAAGATTAAAATCAATTATAAATTTTTAAAAAATAAATAAATTAATAAATATAATAATTATAAAAAATTAGGGTGATATTTACAAAAAAAAAAAATTATTAATAATTAGTTTTGAAATTATTTTTAACTTTTATTTAATTAAAAAAAAGAAATAATCAATTGGTTTTGAAAAATTTTAAGTTTTATTTAATTAATTAATGTATAAAGTGTTTTTAATGATTCCATATTAAAATCGTTTTCACAGACTCTATTTTGAAAAGTATTGAAAAATATTTTATAACCTGGGTAGTCAATTAAAATAGATTCAGCATTTGATCCTATTAAAATTATTACCAAAATAACGGTATGGTTCTGATTTGAAGCCAATGATTCGATATCTTTTTGAAATGAATCACAGTTAAGTCTTATGGCACCACAGCTTTTAACATACAGGATGGTTTTCTTTTCATCAGTTTGGGGAACACTGCTACTACCGCCATCACTATCGCCGTCACTATATGCAGTATCTATGCTATCATTAAATTTTTCTAATATTAAAAATTTTGATTTTTTAGTCTCTTGTTTGATAATTGGGAATTGGGAGGCAAAGAAATTTGAAATTGAAGAGTAATAGTCTTGATCATCCATATTTGAATAAAAATAAATTGTTTTACTTTTATTTTTCTTTTTCTTTTTCATTTTTGGTGATATACTATCAGAGCTGCCTCTAATATTCTCTTTATTATTTATATTATTATTACTATTATAATCATTATTTTTGTTCATATTATTATCCATGTAGCTATCACTATCTTTATTTCCTTTGGATTCTTTACTATAAAAATTGAATGAATTAAAAAAATTTTTTAATATCTGAGCATTTGGTACAATTTTTAAATAATAATTATTTTTGTTTTTTTCATTTTCAAATTTTTTTTCAATTTCTTCTATTGTTGCAAATGCATTACTTTTATCTCCCTCTTTTATATATTTTATTAAAGAATCTTTTAAAATTGGATCCATATTATTTTGAATTATTACTATAATATTATTTTCTGTTATTTATCAAATTTTTTTTTTTAAATTAAAATTTAAAAAATATCAATTTTTTTTTAAAAAAAAAAATCAAAATAATTTTTTTTTTTTTAAGTTTCCAAATTCAATACTTAATAATCACAAATTTTTTTCCTTCAAATACATTGATATTTTTTTATTCAATATTACTAAAAAAAATTTTAATTAAAATTTTTTTTTCTTTTTAGTTCATTTATTAATTTTTTTTAGAATCATTTTTTTCAAGTATTTCTTCGCTATTATCTCCAACTTTATACATGCAATTACAGAGGGTTCAAAATAAACTGGACTCTATTAATAATGAATTCATTTCAGTTGTTTTGATTCCTGATGAAATATCAAAAATCGATATCTACCAAGAAATCATAAACAATATTATAAATTTTTTTTAATATAATATTTTATTTATTATTAAATAAATACTAAATAAAACTTTTTTTTAAAATTTTATTTTTTAAGTGTTATTTTTAAGTATTTGTTTTGTTAAATTAGAAAAAAAAATTAAAAATAAATTAAAAAAAAGATTTTTCTTTTGAATAATTTTTTTTTTTATTTTTTTTATATTAAATAAAATCCACTCTTAAAACAAAATGGAATACTTACCAAGTGAAATAATTTCAAAAAAAAGATTATATATTATATTAATAGATTCAAGTGCATCAAGTGAAAATCAAGAAGAGTTAAATAAAAGTAAAGCTGCCGCTACTGAATTTATTAAAAATAAACCAAATGACTCTGACCATATTGTAATCCAATATTTTGATAATCCTGTTGTTGTATCTGAATCAAATAAAACCAAAGCAATTGAAGAAATCCAAAGTAATTATTTATATATTTTATTTTTATTTTATCATAGTATATTTATTAATTTTTTTTATTATTTTTTTTATTTAGAAATTGTTTTTTCTGGAAGTAACTCAAATTTAAACTCTGCATTACTTTTTGTTCAACAAAAAATAGACTCTATTTTTAATAAAGAAATTTCAATTGTTTTGTTTTCAAATGGACCATGCACCGATGCCCCCCAAACAACCATAACAAGTATCATGAATAGGGTAAGGAAACATTTTATATAATTTACCATTTAAATTAAAAATTTTTTATAAAAAGGGTATCAATTTTTGTTGTATTACAACCAAAAATGAAGCTTTGGTTACATTAGCACCATTATCTACAAATATCAGTTTCCATGTATATGAAAACTCATCCAAATTAACCGAATATATAAAAGAAATTACAAAAAACAAGATTGAAATACCTGTTTTACATAAAATTTCAGTAGCCAATCAAACAATTCAAACTTCCAAAGATGATTTTTCAATTACTTTTGAAATTTTCACTAACTCTAATGAACATGCTTTCAAAGAAAATGAAATCGAAATTGAAATTTTAACAAATGACTACTATTACGGCCAAAAAGTTATTGTTCCAAACAAAGTTGATTGCAATACTCCATATATCGCACATCTTGTTTTAAGGGTTGCAAATAACTCATCAAAATACGATTTACCTTCAAAAATCTATTTCAAAATCAAGGTTAAAGAACAAGTTTTCGATGGTTTCTTTGAAACTTTAAAACCAATCAGCATTTGGACTATAGAACCTATGGCAAATGGTAAATCATCTGTATACAACATGTTGGTGGATCTATTCCCAACATCCCGCCATCTTTCTAAAAATACTCTATAAAAAAAATAAAATAAAAATATTAATATTTTTTTGTAAAGTAATAGTTTTTAAATATTTAATTAATATGTTTACATTTCAGACCAAATTTTCTTGGTGGATTAGTTTCTTTATTTAATGCTGTAACCATTGTTGAAATAATATTTCTTACTTGTTCTGCATAATATTCCTAAATTTAAATATTTATTAGCACATGTTTTTTATTTTTTTATTTTTTTAAATGTAGAAAAAGAAAATATTTTCTTTGTTCACCCATATATCAATAATGAAACAAAGAGAAACATTCAAAAAGATATAGAAGCATTCAAACTTTTAACCTGTGCTGTAGATGTTGGCATTCAAACACAATTCCAAAAAGAAATGGATTCAAACTGAAAGTTCATTTTATTATGGGAAAAAAAATTTATTCTTTCAATTAAATTATTTAATATATTTAATTAAATATATTATTTTAAAAGGAATTGAATAAAAAAATAAAATAAAAATATATTTAATAATTATATGTAAAATTAATATTAAAAAAAAACTTGAGAATAGTTGAAAAAAAAAAAAGAATTAATATAATAAGTTTGAAATATTTTTTTAACTTTTATTTAATTAATTAATCTACAAAGTGTTTTTAATGATTCTTTATTAAAATCGTTTTCGCAGACTTTATTTTGAAAAGTATTGAAAAATATTTTATAACCAGGGTAGTCAATTAAAATAGCTTCGGCATTTGATCCAATTAAAATTATTACCAAAATAACAATATGGTTCTGATTTGAAGCCAATGACTCGATATCATTTTGAAATGAATCATAGTTAAGTCTTCTGGCACCACAACTTTTTAGATATAAAATGGTTTTCTTTTTATCGGATTGGGAACCACTGCTGCTATCGCTATCGTTATCGCCGCCACTATCCGCAGTATCCATGCTATTTTTATTAAATTTTTCTAAAATTAAAACATTTGAATTTTTAGTCTCTTCTTTAATAAACGGTAAATTGGAGGCAAAATAATTTGAAATTGAGGAGTAATAATCTTTATCGCCCATGCTCGAATAAAAATAAATTGTTTTAAGTTTATTTTTCAATTTTGATTGGGTTGTTATATTATCAGAGATGCTTTTATTGTTAATATTATTATTTATATTGTCATTATTGTTATTATTACTAGTATTAATATTATCACTATTACTTTTATTTTTGGTACCCTCAAACTGTTCACTCGACGCAATAGGGGAGCTTGATGATGATATAATTATTTTGTTTTGTTCTCGGTTATTATCATTACAAGTATCATGTGATTTTATATTATTGGGATTGATATTGGTAGCAATACTAGTGTTATTACTATTATTGATATTATAATTTATGTTGTCCATATTCATAATATAGTTTTTTCTTTCTATTTCCATATTATCATTGTTATTAATATTATTATAATTATTATTTATACTATTAATATAATTATTATTATTATTAAAATTATTAAAATTCTTATTAGTATTTAAACTATTATTGATATTATTATTTATATTGCTCATATTATTCATATAATTTATATTATTATTTTTTCTTTCAATTTCCATACTTTCTTTATTATTATAACTATTATTATTATTTATACTATTAATATTACTAATATTATTAATATTATTAATATTATTATTATTATTATTATTATTATTATTAATATTATCATAACTATTATAACCATAATCTTTAATAAGATTATTCATACTATTTTCTATACTACTATTACTATTATTATAATTATTATAACTATTGTTATAATTATAATCATTACTATGATTATTACTATGATTATAATTATTATAACTATTGTTATAACTATAGTTATTATCTTTAATATTTGTTCTATTATTACTATTATAATTATAATTATAATTATAATCATTATTATTATTGTTCATATTATTATCTTTATACCAATAAGTATTAGAATTTTTGTCGATGTTATTACTACCTTTATTTCCTTTGGAGCCTCTAAAACTGGTAAATATAGAATTGAAAAAATTTTCACTACTATTTGACTGATTGATATTGTTTTGATTTTCTAAATTATACTTTTCTAATACCTGATTGTTTGTTTTAAGAAAAATATTGAAATTATGCATAAAATTATTTAAATTTTTTTTTTCATTTTCATAAATTTCGATGTTTTTTTCAAGTTCTTCTAATGAAGTAACTGCACTTTTTCTATCCCCTATTCTAATATGTTTTTTTATATTTTTAAATTGATCTAATAAAAATGGATCCATATTATTTTTGCTCTGAATTATTAATATTAATTATTATTATTATTAATAAAAATATTGTAATATTAATTTTCTGTTTTTAAGTTATTTATTTTTTATTTATTTTTTAAGTGTTATTTTAAGTATTTTTTTTGTAAACTTAAGTGATATTTTTAAGTATTTGATTTGTAAACTTTAATTTTTTTATTTTTTAAGTGTTATTTTTAAGTATTTGTTTTGTTAACTTAAAAAAAAATTAAAAAAAATTAAAAAAAAAAGATTTTTGATATTAAAAAAATTTGTGTAAATAATTTTTTTTTTTTTTTTTTTTATTCAATAAAATCCACTCTTCAAACAAAATGGAAAACTTAATAAGTGAAATAATTTCAAAAAATATATTAAATTTTATATTAATAGATACAAGTACATCAAGTGAAAATCAAGAAGAGTTAAATAAAAGTAAAGCTGCCGCTATTGAATTTATTAAAAATGAACCAAATGACTCTGATTATATTGTAATTCATTATTTTGATAATCCTGTTGTTGTATCTGAATCAAATAAAACCAAGGCAATTGAAGAAATCCAAAGTAATTATTTTTAATTGTATTTTTATTTATATTTTATCATAGTATATTTATTAATTTTTTTTATTATTTTTTTTATTTAGAAATTGTTTTTTCTGGAAGTAACTCAAATTTAAACTCTGCATTACTTTTTGTTCAACAAAAAATAGACTCTATTTTTAATAAAGAAATTTCAATTGTTTTGTTTTCAAATGGACCATGCACTGATGACCCCAAAGCAACCATAACAAGTATCATGAATAGGGTAAGGAAACATTTTATATAATTTACCATTTAAATTAAATATATTTTAAATACTAATTAAAACTTTTTTATAAAAAGGGTATCAATTTTTGTTGTATTACAACCAAAAATGAAGCTTTGGTTACATTAGCACCATTATCTACAAATATCAGTTTCCATGTATATGAAAACTCATCCAAATTAACCGAATATATAAAAGAAATTACAAAAAACAAGATTGAAATACCTGTTTTACATAAAATTTCAGTAGCCAATAGAACAATTCAATGTTCCAAAGATGATCTTTCAATTTCTTTTAAAATTTTCACAAACACTAACGAACTTGCTTTCGAAGAAAATGAAATCGAAATTGAAATTTTAACAAATGACTACTATTACGGCCAAAAAGTTATAGTGCCAAACAAAGTTGATTACAGTACTCCATATACAGCAAATCTTGTTTTAAGGGTTGCAAATAACTCATCAAAATACGATTTACCTTCAAAAATCTATTTCAAAATCAAGGTTAAAGAACAAGTTTTCGATGGATTCTTTACTCTCGATTTAGTATGGTTCGCAGGTGACTTTGAAACTTTTAAACCAATCAACATTTGGGTTGAAGGACTTATGGGAAATGGTAAATCATCTGTATTAAATATGTTGCTCAATCTATTCACATCGAAACCACAAATCTACAATTATTTCATCTCCTCGAATTTCCAAAACCATGTGACCAAAAAAATCACATTCAACAAAATTGCAAACATTTTAGATGTTTTCAAAGCAAGAGCAAGTACATGGTTACCACTATATGACACAATCAAAGATAAAATTAAAATTTCACTTGTCGATAAACCAGGTATTACAAATACAGATGCAAATATTAACTATTTATTAGCATCAAAAGGTGCTTATTATAACAATACACTTAAAGATCAAATGGTAGCTAATGTTGAAGAGAAAAAAGAATACGAATGCCATGCTGTCATTTTTGTAGTATCACTTGCTGAAATTGTTGCAAATAAAACCGAAATGGAATTAATTAAAAAAAAAACTGAAGAAGTTATAGATAAAGTAAACATCCAACCAATTTTAGCAGTAACTTTTAGCGATAATTTCAATGAAACTGAATTAGAAGCCGCTAAAAGACAACTCAGTCAATCTGGTTTAAATGTAGCAAAAGAAAATATTTTCTTTGTTCACCCATATATCAATAATGAAACAAAGAGAAACATTCAAAAAGACATAGAAGCATTCAAACTTTTAACCTGTGCTGTAGATGTTGGAATTCAAACACAATTCCAAAAAGAAATGGATTCAAATGACACCAAAAAGAGCCATTTAGTTGGCGAGGATAACAAGTATCCACCTACTTTGAACGGTGCCTCAGCATCAAGCCTATCAAATGAACCTGCTACCACTGTTACAAAGAAATCCTTCATCATAACTATTACTCATGAAGGCAAAGATTTTAAATTTAAAATTCCTCAAAAATACAAGGTTACAGATCTTTATGGTATGGCTAAAAGTAAATTTAGTATAAAAGAAGATTTCTCTTTAAATGACGAAGATGAAGTAGAATTAGTTGGGGAGTTTCCTTTAGATGAAGTAATTTTCGAAGAAGAATCTAGATTAACAGTTAATATTAAAAATTAAAAAATTAAAAAGTTTTAATAAAAATATATAAAAAATAAAAAAATAAAAATAAAACTTTATAATTTATTTAAAAGTGATTCTAAATATTTTAATTTTAAATAAAGGAAAATTTTTTAAATATTTAATTAAAAAAGTTTTTTTAACAACGGAGATAAAAATCTTTTTTCTTGAACTATATCTCTTCAATCATTGGCTTTAAAATTTACCAAGATTGACTACCTTTTGCATCACCTGGTGGGATGCTCTAAAAACTTCCATCGTCACTAATATTACTTGAAATCAAAGTATTCAATATAATTTCCAAGCATCCCAACTCTTCATTATATTTGTAAATTTATTATTTTTGGTGGTTCAAGAAATCCATTAAATTTAAAAACTGAAAGTTCATTTTATTTTGGGAAAAAAAAAGATAATTCTTTCAATTAAATATATTTTTTTAAAAAAGGAATAAAAAAATAAATAAAAAAAAAAATATATTTAATAATTATATGTAAAATTAATATTAAAAAAAAACTTGTGAATAGTTACAAAAAAAAAAAGAATTAATATAATAAGTTTTGTAATATTTTTTAACTTTTATTTAATTAATTAATCTACAAAGTGTTTTTAATGATTCTTTATTAAAATCGTTTTCGCAGACTTTATTTTGAAAAGTATTGAAAAATATTTTATAACCAGGGTAGTCAATTAAAATAGCTTCGGCATTTGATCCTATTAAAATTATTACCAAAATAACAATATGGTTCTGATTTGAAGCCAATGACTCGATATCATTTTGAAATGAATCATAATTAAGTCTTCTGGCACCACAACTTTTAATATATAGAATGGTTTTCTTTTTATCGGATTGGGAACCACTGCTGCTATCGCTATCGTTATCGCCGTCACTATCTGCAGTATCCATGCTATTATTAAATTTTTCTAAAATTAAAACATTTGAATTTTTAGTCTCTTGTTTAATTATTGGTAAATTGGAGGCAAAATAACTTGAAATTGAGGAATAATAGTCTTTATCGCCCATACTTGAATAAAAATAAATTGTTTTAGGTTTATTTTTCAATTTTGGTTGGGTTGTTATATTATCAGAGATGCTTTTATTGTTAATATTATTATTTATATTGTCATTATTGTTATTATTACTAGTATTAATATTATCACTATTACTTTTATTTTTGGTACCCTCAAACTGTTCACTCGACGCAATAGGGGAGCTTGATGATGATATAATTATTTTGTTTTGTTCTCGGTTATTATCATTACAAGTATCATGTGATTTTATATTATTGGGATTGATATTGGTAGCAATACTAGTGTTATTACTATTGGGATTGATAATGGTAGCAATACTAGTGTTATTACTATTATTGATATTATAATTTATGTTGTCCATATTCATAATATAGTTTTTTCTTTCTATTTCCATATTATCATTGTTATTAATATTATTATAATTATTATTTATA